CTACCACCCTGACCTCTCCGAACCATAGCTGTTTCTATTGCCTTCCTTAATCCATTACTCTTGAAACCAAAAAAGCTTTTTTCCAATTAGATCCTGAGATAAGTGCGCTGTAACATGTACACTTCAACATTCTCATATTCGTGTAGATTTATGCTAGAGCTTGGAAGTTGTTCATTTTTCGTAACAGTGGGCGTTATTAAAAAGCGTATATTACCAACAATATCAGCCAATCGTATAGAGGTAATCTTCTGTGAAAATTCAATTTAAAATTTGATTTTTTTTTTCTGAACCTAAATATTACATTGTGTTTATTCACATCACCGCCTGCACTTCGAAAATGCGATGATATATTCCAATAAAATCTCATTCTTCTTTTTGCCTAGTACAATCAAACTACGGGATGTTTTATAACATAAGTTATCGCCTGATGCATATCCGAACCGATACGACCTCCGACTCTTCAAGCTAACCTTACGGCAATACACTTAGCTCCTGAGTTATAGGTGTCCATATGCGAAGGGAGTCATTTGATAATCCTTCTGTGTAACTCTATATCATTGAAAATACGAGGCAAGTCATCATCATCAACAGCCTTTAGTAGTCCACTGGCTGGACATGACCTTTCCTTAGAAAGGAGATTTTGACTATTATACAACGCTGGCCAGACTGGTTGATATAGGGTTGGTGTTAAGTTTACCTTCTCTTTGCAGTGCTGTTGTCCTGCGTAGTTTGCTCCTTTAGTCGGCTCTAAAGGAGCAAAAAACTACCGAAATCAACGAGCCAGTTAATTATAAAATAGAACCAGTATTTGAGATCCATAGTATAGTATCTATAGTTTTTTTTTTTTTTGGTTAAAAGAAGACAACTCCCGCATTAGGATATATTCCTGTGTCGCGGGGGACTTTACAAACATGCATAAAACGGACACGAACACCCAGACTCAGAACAACAATTTGTGGATCACACAAAGTGTCGTCCCATGTGGGGTTTGAACCCACAACACTCGGCGTAGTAGAATGCGGCGTGGCGACCGCTTAAACCACTACGCCATCCGTGCAGTCGATAGTATATCTATACGGCTAATATAATTAAAAATCAAGTTTATTAATACAAAACATTTCGTCTTTTCGCATCGGACATCCTATAGTCTTGAAATCTTAGACTGTTGTACTAGATAACACAGTGCCTTGTTTTTACTAATGAGCATAGCATGGTCGCCAAGACTTTATTAGAAAGAAAGAAGTAAACGTATTAACAATGTACTTCAAACACCCCCTCTGTTTTTAGGCGGTTAGGCCTAAAAACAGACAGACTACTAATCTTTGAAGTTCATATTATAAGAAAGACTATTATCGTGTCCTTTGGCTAGTTTGTCTACGAATGCTAAAACATCCAATTCTGTTGCGAAATCCACTTAAAACTGGCAAATTTGACAGAATTGAATTAGTTGTTGACTAGTTTACTTATTCTTTCTAATGGTACTTCTGTAGAATAACTAAACACGTGTCTTTGAAAAGATTGTTGTAGATTATTCTTATTGACAATAATTGGTTAAAGGGTCTTCCTAACATCAGCCAGTTCAAGTTACAGAGGCTCTTGCCTGTTCGAGCTATTGGTTACTCCTCAATCTATCCATATAAGCATTATTGATTTCCTGCCATTTCCTTCTCATCTAATTTTACTTGTCTAATGAATTCCCAATTTTCCTATCCAATTTTTAAAGTGCCCGGTTGAAATCTATATTAGTGTCCTATTAGATAAGTGAGATTTAAATACTAAAATTTAATTCACAAAATTGGGTGTATCATACCATACTCTGCCCATTGTATAAGATAAAAAACCGGTCAGGTACGAGTCGAGCTCGTACGCCGAGGGTGCGGTACCTACTCAGATTTTACGTTGATTATTACGTAGATAAATTCCCAAAAATAAAAAAGTTGAAAATTAAGATACATTTTGGTACTTACAAATTTTCGCGAATATCGAAATTTGCCCATATCTTGATTTTTATACGGACAAGAAAGTGATCTCATAAGGGTTCCTTTTTTTACCTTTTGAGGTACGGCACCCTAAAAAAGAATAATAAACCATAACAGTAAACTCTTAATAAGTATATATAATATTTACAAAGTGATTTACCATATAAAACCTAAAAAGAGCTTCTATCAACTGTAAATGTAAAGTACAATAGTTGTTATCAAAATTACCGCAACGTGGAATAACAAAAGTAAATGTGTGTTTACCTAATAACTAACTATACGTACAACAAGATGTGCAGATCAAAATCTTACTCTCGTGTTGACATTGTCACTTAAAGTTAACGATGTGTTTTAATTGAGTAGCAGTACAGTATTCAGTCACCCGAAGGTTAGAACAAAAAGACTTTAACTGAAATTATTCATGCAGCATTTATCTACCGTAGTTTTACAGTAATACTTTTAAATGTAATTTTATTTAGTATGATAATCAATGTATTGTTTTACTTTGTATTGATCGACTAACCACCACCCCTATTCATCCCGTGGGTGTCGTAAGAGCCGACTAAGGGAACAAACTATGCAGGACAACAGCACTGCAGAGAGAAGGAAAGTTTGAAACAAACCCTATACCAACTCGTCTGGCCAGCGTGGTATAGTAGGCAGTGGACTGTTATAGGCTGTTGATGATCGACTAAACTCTTGCCACGCAACTGAAATGGTTATTTCATTAAGAATAGTCTCCATATTATTTCGTAGCAATCGTCGATAGCGTAAAATATAAATTTTGCGCTTGTAACTCGTTTGTCAGAACTTTCCGTCATTTCTCAGCTTGACCGTTCCGTGTTGAAAATTCTATAAAAAGTATTTTTTGAGTATTTATTACTTTCTTTTTGTTAATTAATTTTAGAGTGCACTGTCAATAAACTATTTATAGTAATAAATTTATCACAAATCGTTTTTATATTTATATCGATTAATTAATCAGACCTAGGCCTCTATTAATTCTTATTACTTCTATTAATTAATCTGTTAACGTGCCCCATAATACCACAAATATTTTAGCCTATTAAACATGGAAGTTAGCTACTTTAAAATCATATTCATGTGATGAATTGATTGGTTTCAGTCACAGCGATTTCACATGTGAGTGTGATTTGGTCATAGACAAAGATATAAGACGCAATGCTTTTGTAAATATAATAATAATAATATAATATCTCACACACGGCCGTCTGATCCCAAACTAGGCAGAGCCTGTACCAAACTGCTGATAAACATACGTATATATTTTTAAATACATACATATTATAGATAAATTACATCCAGACATAGAACAAATGACCGTGCTCATCACACAATATTTGTCCTGAGTGGGAATCGAACCCTGGATTAGCAGTCAGGGTCACTAACCACTAGACCAACAGGCCCGTCGATGAGTCACAGGTGTGATTATTTGATTTAGAAATCATATGATTTATCACAGGATTTTATGATTTTGTTCCATCCCTGTATCTTATTATTTTATAGTTGTTGAACCATGAATTATCCAAGTACTACGAGTATTTAGTCCACACTTGTAGTCTGTAAGAGATTGCAGACTGCGGAAAGACCGTAACGTGTGATAGAGAGTATCTATCTTTCTAAGCTATTTTAGCTATCAGGGACTGAGGACTCCTGTGGCTGGGAATTAAAAAATTATAAAGTGAAAACTTGTTTTAGGCTAGTCGGACATTTTTGAACAACAAACAAAATAATGTATCCTTGAGATAGGAAAAAACCATTTAACTCGCGACACCGTTACTGTTACCGACACCTTTGTGTATAAGTATCTACATATATTGGCCCCCTTTACAAGAGAGTTGTTTGGATTGAAATTCATTAATAATAATTGTGTATATACTTACAACATAGATATATATTCATGTAGGCACTTTTCGAATCAAAAAAAAACAAAAGAAACCTGCTTTAATAAAAAAAAAACACTTCTGTCGGCACTCCCGAAATGCCACTGTTTTTTTTTAATAAATGGAGACATGTATGACACAATAGATACTACAGACTATACTAGTAATCATAACTAAAAAAATGTAAAAGTAGTTATGATTACGAACTAAAATTAACGTGATCGCGTAATAGCTATTACATACCGTGGCCGTGGTCACATCCCGTGACCACGGCCCGTGCGACATGGTCGAAACGTAGGGCAATTCAAAGGTACGTAATACGCAATTACGTGATTTATTTACGCGATCATTAGTATAATAGTTAATGTTAATTATATCAAGAAGTAAAAACAAAACATTCATAAGACTTGGTAAGAACAGTAATTTTGTTATATGCCTAAGAAGTATCAGGTTCAGCGAATGCCGAATAGAAACCTAGAACGTCTTTTTAACTATTCACTTCAGATTTCTTTTACAAATGAATATGATTATCTAAGCTGATGTACTATACATACATACACTCGGTACACGGAGGCGTAATAAACGTCCATATGATATATTTCCAAGTATATACATATTAGAGACTAGCTGACCCGCGCAACTTCGTCTGCGTCTCTCAATAGTAATAAATTTACTCCGTTTTTGAAACATTCTTCATTGGTGCTCCTATTGGTCTTAGCGTGATGATATATAGCTTATAGCCTTCCTCGATAAATGGGCTATCTAACACTGAAATAATTTTTCAAATCGGATCAGTAGTTCCTGAGATTAGCGCGTTCAAACAAACAAACAAACAAACTCTTCAGCTTTATATTAGTATAGATAAATTACATCCAGACACAGAACAAATGATCGTGCTCATTACACAATATTTTAACTGGGTGGGAATCGAACCCACGAACTCTGGCTTCGCAGTCAGGACCGCTAACCACTAAAACAACAGGCCCGTTAGGAAATCTAATCATGTTTTTAGCACTTGTTGCTTCCTAGCAGTGACTTCATTATTTCTTCACTGTATTAGTTCATTTGATAATTGTCGGTACAATATTTAATAAAAATATTTTTTGTTGCGATCCAGGTGAGGAGGTCGCCCGCAACTCAGAGCGCACGCACTACACAGGCGGGTGGGTTGCGCGGGAGTGGCGCGGGCGGCGTAGCCACGTGGCGCGCCCGCAGCGACGCATCGCACCCGAGCGGTACCTCAACGGTTCCTACCCCTTCCAAGTTAAATTCACGCCTGACGATTTGCTCAACGGTCTGTATTTTTGATCGAAATCAATTTTTTTAAAGACAACTACATTACGAATATATCCTGTGTCGCTAGGGACTTTACAAACGTACAGGAAACGGACATAAAGAACACCCAGTCTCGGAACAACAATTGTGGATCACACAGTGTTGTCCCGTGTGGGGATCGAACCCACAACACACAGCACAGTAGGAAGTTGCGACCGCTTAAACCACTACGCCATCTGTGCAGTCAACACTGTTTTTTTTTCATAATCACACACATGTAAAACATGTGTCGGAATTATTCTCGAAAACATTTTTGTAATTAAATTCGAAATATGTAAATTAAATGACAAAAGTACGGCTTGTTCACTTCTGTTATATTTTCATGAAATTAAGAAACAAAACTAAGAATAGTTGGTGTCTGACAATGTTCTGTAATTAACAATTTAAATTAGTATAGTAAACGCTGCTATTGTTTACGTTTAGTACTCGAAACAATTCGCCAATAATATCTTAAATTTGTACAAATGTATGGTAATGATAAAACTCAAATATTGGAAATCTACACGAATAAATAAAATTGAAGTGTCTAGGTGTAATGTCAAAATAATAGGTTTTCTCATGCTCACACGGTTGTGGGCACGATACCTATGCGTAAAAACCAGTTTAAATGTTTGTCTGTCTGCCTATCTGCTTGTTCCGGGATCTTCAAAAGGGCTACACCGATTTTGATAATTTTTACTGTCAGGTAGCTGTCAGTAAAATATTATCAAAAGAGAAGCAGAAAAACCCTTTAAAAATTTTACGGTCTAAGTATCGAATCCACTATGGCAGCGGTTTTCAAATTCCACGCGAACCAAGTCGCGGGCATGCGGGCTAGCTAAATATATGCCAAAAAAAAAATTGTTGACAATATCTTTTAGGAAATACACAGATGATACCTTTTCGAAGTCAATATAATGTAAGTGGCTGCCTTGGTGGTGCAGTGGTAGCGTATGCGACTGCTGTGCTGAGGTCTCGGGTTCGATTCCCGGGTCGTACCAAATGTTTGTGTGATCTGCAAATATTTCTTTCTTTAAAAAAGACAACTCCCGCACTAGGAATAAATCCTGTGTCGCGGGGGACTTTACAAAACATACATGGAAACGGACACAAAGAACACCCAGACTCCGAACAACAATTTGTGGATCACACAGTGTTATTCCGTGTGGGGATCAGACCCACAACACTCAGCACACTACTGTGCTGAGTGTTGTGTGTGCGGCAAGGTGACTGCTTAAACCGCTACGCCATCCGTGATCCGTGGAGTTTGGGTGTTTTCTATATTTAACATGTATGTATTCACAAAAATATAAGTATTATGTTAGCCAATCTAGTTTTATAGTACATGCTCTACTTAGTTTAAAACTAGATGGCGTTGTGTGTCAGATGTCCGAAATATTATTATTAGACTTGCAACGAATAGTATATTCGGCAGTATACCGAATACCGAATATTCGGCGAGGTCCCTGACCGAATAGCCGAATATTAGGCAAAAGTATTCGGCTGAATTTTAGCGCCAAAAACTTGTACAGACGTGAATTAAATTAGGTACCTGTTTTATGTACCAATGACTACTTAATAAATGATTATAAAAGAAATGAGAACCTTACCCTTCTAAATTTTGATTACCACAATAATTCAAATACATAGAATCCTCCATTTTTCCTATTCAGAAGACGATTATGTACCTGTGTTATGCACCAATGACTACTTAAATGATTGTAACAGAAATGAAAATATGAATATACGTAATCAATCGATTTTAATTTTTCATTTTACCAATTATTTCTCAATGACAAAATATATTATTTAAGTATTCGGTATTCGGCCGAATAATATGTAGATATTCGGTATTCGGCCGAATATAATAAAAGCAGCCGAATAGGCCGAATACCGAATAGTAACCGAATATTCGTTGCAAGTCTAATTATTATGTATTATTATTCTATGTTGGATACAGATCAGGTATTTATGTTTGAAAAACATATCTTATGCCAATTTACACGATAGCGAATAAAAGCAGTTTAACATTTTCAGGGTGTATGTATTAATAACTTATAAATACCTGAACGGATTGGGATGATAGGATGTCATGAGAATCATTACATCCATCTCGAGCGCCACTAGATACATATTTATATATTTTTTTTATCACATTGTATGCCATATATTTTCCTTGTGGTGACGGATTAAGAATAAGAATGTCACCACCCCTATTCATCCCGTGGGTGTCGTAAGAGCCGACTAAGAGAGCAAACTCCGAAGGACAACAGTACTGCAAAGATAAGCAAAACTTGACCTAAACCCTATACCAACCAACCCGTCTGGCTAGCGTGGTATAGTAGGCCAAAACCTCCTTTCCAAGGAGAGGCATGTAAAGCAGTGAACTGTTAAAGGCTGAAATGATAAATAACGGTTTGTCTAATTTTAAGTACTGTTTCACAGCAATAACTACATTTGATGAGCAACATCGTTCCTCTTGCTCTCCTAAAATCTGTAATTGATTTAGTCAAAAGGGACGAAATTGTGTAACAGGAAACCAAATAAACAGACGTGGTTTAATTTAACCAATGAGAGTAACTGTCCAATATTGTTAACATTTTCATTTTGTGAAGTGTGTTACAGTTTACTTGAAGTCCGATAGATGGCGTTGATAGTACCTTTGTGCATCGCGCTATTGTTTCGTAACGGTGTTTTATATATAAGGTCAATGTAATAATTTGATTTTAAGCAGCACTAGACCAGCGTGCAACAACCACGCGTGCGGTATTTAGTCGGTTGCTGATGTAGGTAGGCTGTTGATGATGATGCCATATGGCACGTAATGCGTTTTTGCCAAGGCCAATCTTTAAAGTTAGTTACTTGTTGTAATTCATATAGAGCTAGTGACCCTTCACAACGCTCGATATGTTAGGTTAGCCAAGAAGAAACTGTTTATTCGCTATAACTTTTTAAATTTTTATAAAGCCATTGACGAATCTGACTACCAATCAGTTTTGCCTTGTTAATAATCACAGGCCAACAAAATTTGACAAAGTTTCTTACCCAAAAACCAGAGTATACTTTCCCAAAGGATTCTGGTGCGCTGAATCCCAATTCAGCCACAGAATTTCTATATCACGTCAGGTTTTTAAAATATTGTAATCTAAACGTGCAAAAAACACCATTTTTGAGGTTATGTAACCATTCAAATTTTATTAGATCTAAAAAGTTACACAGGCAATCTTAAAGTTCAAGTCTAGCTTTCAAATGACGTTGAGTTTGCTCAAATATCATTTTTTTCGCTGAGATAATTTTATTTACTTTTTTAGGCATAATAAATTTTGAAGAGTTACATAACCTAAAAAATGCGTTTTTTTGCACTTTTATTTTAGAATATCGGAAAAAACTGACTTGATAAAGCAATTCTGCGTCTGGTTTCTAGGTAAACATTTTGTTGGCCTGTGTAACGGTGAGTCCACTACACAAACCAGTAACTAGTATTTAACGTTCTCTGTTTCTCCCAATATTGCGGGCCACATCCATTCCCTGTATTTTTCCCAAGTGGTCCTATTACTTCCGCATCAAGTAAATAATATGTTAATTATTTTTTCCAGGATCCAAATGGGACACATTGTCACAAGAAATTTGGGATAAGTTTATAAAGTCACAACAAACAGAAGAGACGTTTAGAAAGAAAATGAATCTTTGGAGATATCTTTTTATCACAATCAAGGTATTTATCACGATCATTAAATACAATTAATGTTTTAAGTGTGTTATGTAAAGAGATACCACTGCAAAGAGATACCAACCTGTCTAGCCAGCATATATAGCCCGTAGGTTTCCCACACGCACACACTTCTTTTCTCTTAGAAGGCGCCCTGAGGTAATCTCATAGATCTCTCCACTGGGTCAGCCGGTGAGTAGTCCGCCTGAGAAGAAAAGCGGCTACATGGTATTGTAGGAAAAAACCTCTTTTCTAAAGGGAGGCCTATGTCCAGCAGTGGACTAAAGGCTGTTGATGAGTATGTAATGTTGAGAAATAGAGGCAGTACAATGAACATCAACTATTATCTTCCACTTCTTGCTTACTGCGGTTTACACAAATTAAGTGTCTGCAGTTGATGGTAGAGTTTATGGTTTATGGGGAAGAAATCAACAGACGGCTTACCTGATGGTAAGTGACTACCGCCGCCTATGGACACCTGGCACAGTTTGAATCCCTCTCCCAGAATAAAGGGGAAGAAGGTGGGTTTGGAAGAGCAACGAAAAGATTGCTTAACACCGGTTTTCGATAGACTTCTATCACTCCGGTCGAGCCGACCCATTTGTACCGAAATACGACTCTCCCACGGTAAAATCTTTTACTAAATAAACGGAGGCGTTTACAAAATGTTGTTGGATTAGAAAGTGAAAATATTGCAATACCAAGAATTTTAGATCGGTTTGAAAAAAAAGAAACTAACCAAAACCTGTTGCTACGTTACACATTGCGTCGAAAATGATTATTCTAACTATTTCAAATAATGAAATATTTTTAGTTTGTATTGTCCCACTTCAGGGCACAGGCCCCCTCTCTCCCCTCCACGTCGTCTGTCGCGTGCTAGTTCGGACCAGTCTGTTCGGAAGCCGTCGAGATGCCTGGGCCTACCACGTTGTCGTTTAGCGCCTTGTGGGACCCAAATGGTGCTAATTTTTGCCCATAGATCCGTCGGAATGCGGCAAACGTGCCCGGCCATTTGAGTGTCATCTGCGATTTGTGTTTTGGAACGTAGTGCTGTATTTCTGTCTGTCTGTCAGCCGTATTTGAAATAGATAAAACTATTTTCTTTATTCCCAGACGATATTCCCTCGCTACGGGCTCTACGTGGTGGGGTCGTCAATGTCTGGCTTCGGCCTGGACTCGTCCGACATGGACCTGTGCCTGTACGTGCGGCCTGTGGACGACCTAGACCCGCGAGCGCACGCCCTACTACACCTCAACTACATCCTCAGCTATATCAGAAGTTTTGATCCTAGTGGGTATACATAGTTAAATACCAACTTCAACAGAAACCTTGTACATCTTTTGTTTGACTGCACGGATGGCGTAGTGGTTTAAGCGGTCGCTACGCCGCTTCCTACTACACCGAGTGTTGGGGGTTCAAACCCCACATGGGACGACACTTTGTGTGATTCACAAATTGTTGTTCTGAGTCTGGGTGTTCTTTGTGTCCGTTTTATGTATGTTTGTAAAGTCCCTCGCGACACAGGGGAGCTGGGTCCCTAATGCGGAAGTTCTTTTAAAAAAAAAGACATTTGATCCATTGAATGAATAGGTACAATATCGTTTTTATTTTAATGTTTTTGTTGAAAGACGCGGAGTTGATCCAGGCGAAGGTGCCGATCCTGAAGTTCCGCGACTCTCGCAACGGCCTGCAGGTGGACCTCAACTGTAACAACGTCGTGGGTATACGCAACACTAACTTGTTACATTGTTACTCGAGGCGTGAGTTCACCTATTACTTATTTACTACTCCTCTGAACTAAAAGTGTGTTATAGCCTAGAGGACAAATTTAAATTGTATCACTGTGCTCGAAGGTCTACTTACTATCCAAGAACTAGATTCTATGAGCTTCAAAACGCTTTTTATAGATTGTCGATACGACCATTTTTCACTTAGCAATAACATATAAAAAATGAGGAAAAATACTAGATTTCATTTTAGGGATTAGTAAAATAACATTAAATTTGAAAGTAAGTGTATGTGTTCTCAGTGGACTGGCGCGTGAGGCCGCTGGTGGCGCTGACGAAGCTGTGGGCGCAGGCGCACGACATCAACGACGCGAGACACCGCACGCTCTCCTCCTACTCGCTCACGCTCATGGTCATACACTTCCTGCAGTGTAAGTCGCTTTGTACCTTACTGACGATGTACCTTAGTGTGGGCGCAGGCGCACGACATCAACGACGCGAGACACCGCACGCTCTCCTCCTACTCGCTCACGCTCATGGTCATACACTTGCTGCAGTGTAAGTCGCTTTGTACCTTACTGACGAGGCTGTGGGCGCAGGCGCACGACATCAACGACGCGAGACACCGCACGCTCTCCTCCTACTCGCTCACGCTCATGGTCATACACTTCCTGCAGTGTAAGTCGCTTTGTACCTTACTGACGAGGCTGTGGGCGCAGGCGCACGACATCAACGACGCGAGACACCGCACGCTCTCCTCCTACTCGCTCACGCTCATGGTCATACACTTCCTGCAGTGTAAGTCGCTTTGTACCTTACTGACGAGGCTGTGGGCGCAGGCGCACGACATCAACGACGCGAGACACCGCACGCTCTCCTCCTACTCGCTCACGCTCATGGTCATACACTTCCTGCAGTGTAAGTCGCTTTGTACCTTACTGACGAGGCTGTGGGCGCAGGCGCACGACATCAACGACGCGAGACACCGCACGCTCTCCTCCTACTCGCTCACGCTCATGGTCATACACTTCCTGCAGTGTAAGTCGCTTTGTACCTTACTGACGAGGCTGTGGGCGCAGGCGCACGACATCAACGACGCGAGACACCGCACGCTCTCCTCCTACTCGCTCACGCTCATGGTCATACACTTCCTGCAGTGTAAGTCGCTTTGTACCTTACTGACGAGGCTGTGGGCGCAGGCGCACGACATCAACGACGCGAGACACCGCACGCTCTCCTCCTACTCGCTCACGCTCATGGTCATACACTTCCTGCAGTGTAAGTCGCTTTGTACCTTACTGACGAGGCTGTGGGCGCAGGCGCACGACATCAACGACGCGAGACACCGCACGCTCTCCTCCTACTCGCTCACGCTCATGGTCATACACTTCCTGCAGTGTAAGTCGCTTTGTACCTTACTGACGAGGCTGTGGGCGCAGGCGCACGACATCAACGACGCGAGACACCGCACGCTCTCCTCCTACTCGCTCACGCTCATGGTCATACACTTCCTGCAGTGTAAGTCGCTTTGTACCTTACTGACGAGGCTGTGGGCGCAGGCGCACGACATCAACGACGCGAGACACCGCACGCTCTCCTCCTACTCGCTCACGCTCATGGTCATACACTTCCTGCAGTGTAAGTCGCTTTGTACCTTACTGACGAGGCTGTGGGCGCAGGCGCACGACATCAACGACGCGAGACACCGCACGCTCTCCTCCTACTCGCTCACGCTCATGGTCATACACTTCCTGCAGTGTAAGTCGCTTTGTACCTTACTGACGAGGCTGTGGGCGCAGGCGCACGACATCAACGACGCGAGACACCGCACGCTCTCCTCCTACTCGCTCACGCTCATGGTCATACACTTCCTGCAGTGTAAGTCGCTTTGTACCTTACTGACGAGGCTGTGGGCGCAGGCGCACGACATCAACGACGCGAGACACCGCACGCTCTCCTCCTACTCGCTCACGCTCATGGTCATACACTTCCTGCAGTGTAAGTCGCTTTGTACCTTACTGACGAGGCTGTGGGCGCAGGCGCACGACATCAACGACGCGAGACACCGCACGCTCTCCTCCTACTCGCTCACGCTCATGGTCATACACTTCCTGCAGTGTAAGTCGCTTTGTACCTTACTGACGAGGCTGTGGGCGCAGGCGCACGACATCAACGACGCGAGACACCGCACGCTCTCCTCCTACTCGCTCACGCTCATGGTCATACACTTCCTGCAGTGTAAGTCGCTTTGTACCTTACTGACGAGGCTGTGGGCGCAGGCGCACGACATCAACGACGCGAGACACCGCACGCTCTCCTCCTACTCGCTCACGCTCATGGTCATACACTTCCTGCAGTGTAAGTCGCTTTGTACCTTACTGACGAGGCTGTGGGCGCAGGCGCACGACATCAACGACGCGAGACACCGCACGCTCTCCTCCTACTCGCTCACGCTCATGGTCATACACTTCCTGCAGTGTAAGTCGCTTTGTACCTTACTGACGAGGCTGTGGGCGCAGGCGCACGACATCAACGACGCGAGACACCGCACGCTCTCCTCCTACTCGCTCACGCTCATGGTCATACACTTCCTGCAGTGTAAGTCGCTTTGTACCTTACTGACGAGGCTGTGGGCGCAGGCGCACGACATCAACGACGCGAGACACCGCACGCTCTCCTCCTACTCGCTCACGCTCATGGTCATACACTTCCTGCAGTGTAAGTCGCTTTGTACCTTACTGACGAGGCTGTGGGCGCAGGCGCACGACATCAACGACGCGAGACACCGCACGCTCTCCTCCTACTCGCTCACGCTCATGGTCATACACTTCCTGCAGTGTAAGTCGCTTTGTACCTTACTGACGAGGCTGTGGGCGCAGGCGCACGACATCAACGACGCGAGACACCGCACGCTCTCCTCCTACTCGCTCACGCTCATGGTCATACACTTCCTGCAGTGTAAGTCGCTTTGTACCTTACTGACGAGGCTGTGGGCGCAGGCGCACGACATCAACGACGCGAGACACCGCACGCTCTCCTCCTACTCGCTCACGCTCATGGTCATACACTTCCTGCAGTGTAAGTCGCTTTGTACCTTACTGACGAGGCTGTGGGCGCAGGCGCACGACATCAACGACGCGAGACACCGCACGCTCTCCTCCTACTCGCTCACGCTCATGGTCATACACTTCCTGCAGTGTAAGTCGCTTTGTACCTTACTGACGAGGCTGTGGGCGCAGGCGCACGACATCAACGACGCGAGACACCGCACGCTCTCCTCCTACTCGCTCACGCTCATGGTCATACACTTCCTGCAGTGTAAGTCGCTTTGTACCTTACTGACGAGGCTGTGGGCGCAGGCGCACGACATCAACGACGCGAGACACCGCACGCTCTCCTCCTACTCGCTCACGCTCATGGTCATACACTTCCTGCAGTGTAAGTCGCTTTGTACCTTACTGACGAGGCTGTGGGCGCAGGCGCACGACATCAACGACGCGAGACACCGCACGCTCTCCTCCTACTCGCTCACGCTCATGGTCATACACTTCCTGCAGTGTAAGTCGCTTTGTACCTTACTGACGAGGCTGTGGGCGCAGGCGCACGACATCAACGACGCGAGACACCGCACGCTCTCCTCCTACTCGCTCACGCTCATGGTCATACACTTCCTGCAGTGTAAGTCGCTTTGTACCTTACTGACGAGGCTGTGGGCGCAGGCGCACGACATCAACGACGCGAGACACCGCACGCTCTCCTCCTACTCGCTCACGCTCATGGTCATACACTTCCTGCAGTGTAAGTCGCTTTGTACCTTACTGACGAGGCTGTGGGCGCAGGCGCACGACATCAACGACGCGAGACACCGCACGCTCTCCTCCTACTCGCTCACGCTCATGGTCATACACTTCCTGCAGTGTAAGTCGCTTTGTACCTTACTGACGAGGCTGTGGGCGCAGGCGCACGACATCAACGACGCGAGACACCGCACGCTCTCCTCCTACTCGCTCACGCTCATGGTCATACACTTCCTGCAGTGTAAGTCGCTTTGTACCTTACTGACGAGGCTAATTTTCAGATGGAATAGATTAATGAAAAGGTGAATTGGGGGTAAGGACAACTGATAAGGCGATTGGAACTCTGGTTCAAGGTATCTTAAGTATCGGATGGGGAGACGAGACTTAGACTGCTGTAGTTCGAAGATACCGAGATCACATATCCAGTATGATCTTCATGTTGATTTAATTGAAATCAAAGTCATACAGTATCACAACGACTATTCTATGTGAAAGTGAAACAATAGCTAAAATAAAGTAAGTAATTTGTGTATGTAATAATGCGTATTGTTCCAGGTGGCACGTCCCCCCCCATCCTGCCGCGCGCGAGCGAGGCGGGCCTGGCTCACGACGCGCGCCGCGTCCACAACCGCACCACGCTCGCTGAGCTGTTCCTGCACATGCTGCGGTACTACGCTGACTTCCCGTGAGTTGAATGTCGCACTAGTTGTCCCAACTATCGCACTTCCTTGTGGTTCCTTTACTGTACCATTCTCTCCCCTACTCCTCCACTACTGCATTACTTCCGCCATTCTCTCGTCGAGTCGTTCCTGTACACGGTTGCGGTACTATGCTGATTTTCTGTGAGTTGTTTCCGCACTACCCGTCTGAATCATCCCCGTCACCGCACCACCGTCTCTATTCTACGCTGAGGTCCCACATTCTGTATTCCAACATTCCGTCCGTCGGTGTCAGTACCGTACCGTCCGGCAGTGGGTGTCTCGTGATACGTGCGGGTGTGGCGCAGGTACGACAAGATGGCGGTGTCGGTGCGGCTGGGCGCGCGCGTGCCCGTGGCGGAGTGTCGCGCGGCGCGCGCGCACAAGAACGACCCGCACCAGTGGAAGCTGCTCTGCGTCGAGGAGCCCTTCGACCTCACCAACACGGCGCGCTCCGTGTACGACCCCGACACCTTCGACAAGATCGTGGCCACGTTCCGCGACAGCCACGCGCGCCTGGCCGCGGGGCTGCGCCTGGCCGACGCGTGGCCGCAGCCGCGCCGATGATACCGTCCGCCGTCTTATCGTTAGTTCTCGCGGGTCTCGAGGTGCGCCGTTCGTCGTGAACGTTTATATTTATGTGAATACGTCGATCCCGCCGAGAACCGACGAGCGGGCGCGCCGTTTTTCCCTTCTCGTGAGTTTATATTGAGTTTATATTTTATTTGTAGTAACTTTGGTATGATTTTAAACGAGTAGCCGGAGTTTTCTCCCCGAACTGATGATATTTATTTATATTTTATTGTATTTGGCGTAGACCGGGCTCGGTGCCGGCTCGTACTCGCCGCGGATGAGGTGCGAGCCTCTAGCGAGTCGTCACGATAGAAAGGGCACCTCGAAACCGTTCAAACGACGGTCACGGACTCGATCACGATGAAAATTACGAGTGAAAATTATAACACTTTTGAACATCTCCAGAAAGTGTACTTATCTTTAGCTAATATAGTGATCGGCCAAGACACTGGACCTGTATCTGTACAGCTTTGTAGTATAATAGGAAGAAAGTATTCGGTGTGACGTTCGGCCCGAAGTGCGGAGTGCGGCCAGCCCGAGCGGACGCAAGAACGAGACTGAGCTTAGTTGGAGCTGAGTGTGTCATAGTCTTCGCACGGCAGGTCGCTAGTCGATAGTGTATCTATCTGTAGTCCTCACGCGTCAGGTCGCTAGTCGATAGTGTATGTTTAGTCGTCACGCGTCAGGTTGCTAGTCGATAGTGTAATTTGTGACTGAAGCGATGGTCGCGCGCGAGTCGTTGTCCTGCCTCGACGGGCGTCCTATTAATTTTTATTAAATATTTATTATTGATTATTTGTAAGTTATTTAATAAATGTAAATAGTAAGAAATAAAAAAAATACATAAATATTCGTTAGGGTCGTGTATGATTTTTATGTAAATAGTATTTTTGTGATGAGTAAAGAGCAAATGACAAAAAATATATATTATAGATAGTGTAACGGTATGCATGCTTCGCGTGGACGAGCCAGGTTCGCACGCACTGTGCGGGAGAGCGTGAGATGGGAAGCGCCAAATCCCTTGTGATATATTACGAGAAGAAATTATATTAGTGTTCGATGGCCGCCGAGTTACGGCATTGTTTAAAGGTGCTATTATTAGATATTGTCCTCGAATAGTAGACGTCGGCATCCGGCACGCGGCGTCCGGCCGGGCCGGGGGGGGGCGACCAGCGAAATATTGTCCTCACTTGACTGAGAGCCCCCCCCGGCCCGGCTGTTCACATCTGTCGACGAGTGCGGCAAACTTATGGTGCTAAATTATTGCGTTGCCTTATACTTGGCGTTAGGCTATGCTTATTAACGTAACGGTTGTTAAATCATTGCAAGGTTACCGAAGGCTTTGCCTACTAAACACAGTTCTTGTACAATGTATTTATACGCTAGTCACCTTGGCAACTATGTAAGAGTCGACTTCCACTAGCTCGTTTGACTGAAACAATATGTCGTCCAGCAAGTACGACCAGATCTCACCGAATTGATGACCAACGCCTTCGTTAACCTTCACCGAGCTAGATTCTAATATATTCAATAAATAATATACAATAGTTGAAATAATATGTTGTTACGTTGTAAACTGCGATGGTCCAAAGTCGTGTTATATACAAGATCGTGTCGAAATGTCGTTTTCGCCTCACCGCTTTCATTTTTCGCGCTATTTATAATGCGAGTGGAATGCGTTAAATAGTATTTAGCCACGCTCTTGTACTCACCAGAATTCCTATGTCAAATGTGAGGATACTAACAATGCATATCTTTATAAGTAGAATGTATCAAATATTACCTGCGCGAGTTAGGAATTCTGTAACAGCCACCGAGTGATTTAAGCGTCGAAATGAACTGACCGTTGAATTGTTAATATACACGTCACACGGCTGGATAGCTTATGCATGAACTCGAATCGAAAATCCTGTTGTATACCGTATGTTCATATAAATGTTATAATTCCGTTGTTAGTGAAATGAATGCGTTATTTAGACACAAATATGTAGTTTTATCGAGCGGTTCTGAGCGGGCATCATCCGATATGTTCCCACCGATGCCCCGCGACTGTTGTTCGGTTAAGTTTACAATAACTAGCCACTAGAACTAGGTGTAGACGATAAATTGTTAAGTTTTGTTTGTGATGTCGTTGTAACGTTTCACCATCAGGACGTTGTCCCCGATAGCCCGAAGCACTGACACTGTTTGATGTAAAATATAAACGCCTGGCTATTTTATATCGCGTTATGTATAAGTTTTATAAAGAGATTTTACATAGAGGCACTCGGCCGCGCTGGATAATTAAAGTACAATAAATAATTTTAACGAGTTATATATAGTATATATATCTATATAAGAAAACTGATTAGGGTTATAAATAAAAGTGTCTCTCAAAACTGTTTAATTTTTTGAAAAGTTGTAAAAAAAATTCGACACTCAAAGAACAAAAAAAAATATATAAAATTGAACTCCTAAAAAAGAAAATTAAAAAATAAAAAAAAATCATAAAATACAAAAAATATAAAAAAATCCAAAAAAAATAAAATTCTAGAAAATTTTATTTTGACCTTGTCAAATTTTATCGCATGTTTTGTTTGGCTTCCATCTGCCTCGTAATGAACTGTTTTATACAGAAAATAAAAAAAATCAATGTATCATATATATTTATGCTTTTTAACGAAATATTATTATTGTTATAAAAATATCAAGAAGTCAATTGTAAATCTCTGAGGTTGTTTTGAAATAAATAACTTTAGAAGATATTGTTCATAACATAATGTGTATAAGAATTATTGACTTATCCAAAGTTAATTTTATTTGCCCAATGAATATAATCTCATGTCTTATCTATTGTAATGTATTAAAAACATAAACACAAAAAAAATATTATCTCAGGAGCTACGTGATATCCTTTATTGCTCAAAACGCGCCGGGGTTTACTCGAGAACCTAACGGCAGAACCACGGTTAGAGGGCAGGCAGACGGAGTTGTCCCCATAGTTAAAATTACAATCGAAAATCCTGGATACGACATTCCAGTGTTTAAACCTTTATCAATACAACGTTTATAAATAAAGGCTTTTATATCAAATATATATATACTTAATTAACACCATTATACATATTGGTGGAATTTCAACTTATGAGGTTGACTCCACGATGCGGTTTCATCACCATCGACTTGCCCGCATGAGCCACATAAGTTGAAATGACGCCATTTGACGCGGAACCTTGTTTGCTTTATATAATTAAGTAGCAGTACATTAACGGCCCCAGGCGCTAGACCGCCATAAGGTTCTATTTCCGGGCTATAGACCCACCACCTGCTACAGAGACGTCCCACATTTGTTTGTAAACATTGGCAGTTATGTATCTAAGTTCTATATTATATCCATGGTGTTTAATCTATTGTCAGTACAGTTTATTCTTTGATAAATAACACCACAACGGAATAAAGCTGTGTATCAAGAACGTACTTAAAACAATAATGTGGTTCATAGGAATAAAATGCAAAATTGTTGGTGTCTTGTAAAGGAACTCTGAATGAAAACTATATAATTATAAAGTATGTAAATTGTATCTGTTGTATATTGAATCTGTATAGTGTGACCATGTATTATATTTTTGCCTGTGAATGGTCTCGTTTTATAAATATATATTTTGTCACGTTTTCGACAACTTTTGGCTTGTGTTGCATTTTATTTTTATTGAACACGAGCAGATTTTTATCTCCTTATGTACAAAGAAATTATTGTAAAGAAAATATTCTGTAAAAGTTAAATATATACAACTGCCAAATTTAAGTGTATTATTACTATCCCAAATGTTCCCCATTTTTAAATTGAAACCCCCTTTCCGCCCGGATCTTGCGGTGGGGCTTTCAATCTAACGGAATATTTTGATAGTACAAATACTGTCTCAAAAGTCACATGGTCATGTGTCAGCTTCCTTAGAGAGGTCTGGTGAGTATGGCGGATGAGGGAGAGCTTCCAACCCCAGCTCTTGCAGCTTGGAGACTGTCTGTTGCGCAGTATGGGGTCGCGCGTTGTCGTCAAGGAGCAATGGGGACGACCGATTGACCAAAGCTGGTTGCAGATGTGACTACCAGACCTTGCACCTACCGACTATTACTTTTCCAAAATTTAGACAACTTTTTAGTGGGTAAAAAATTCAATTCCCCAGAGGAAGTACAAAATGCCTTTGAAGAATTTGTTGCCTCCCGTCCAGCTGATTTTTACAAGAAGGGCATCAATAAACTGCCAATGCGTCGGCAAAGATGCGTCGATTGCATGGGTGATTACTTCGAATAACAAATATAAGTGTTTGAAAAAATAAGTACTCTCACTTATTGCATACATAACGGCAATTTCATAGGTAAAGACCTATTATATTCACATATACGCAAACATACATATCTACATTATATTAGTACACTATGAATGTAAGAAAATTGGTTGGTTTGTGTACTATCGATTGGATGATCCTGCCATCTCATCTATTTTCATGTTTGTTACTGAACTACATTTACTATGATCTGAACTGATTTGGTAATATAAAATTATATGGACTACTATTATGTGATATATTTCTTAGCGTTCAATGGATTCGCCATGCGGGTGCCGCGTCCATCACGTGACATGCGACTGCAACAGCGCCTGGGAATTGAGACCCAGGAGTAGGGAGTACTCCTTGCGGCGCTTTAGCGCTCACCTTCACTGTCTGCTGTGCTACCCCCTCTAACTAACCATATTTGATACGAGCCTACCAATGCCAAGCAAAATGGGTTACGCACATCACACATTCATAAGAATTATATTCAATTCTTAATTGTTCATTGAGCTGATATAAAGCTGGCATAGACCCTTTGCATTACTTCATCCTTCTGCGAAGACGTCATCTCGTGGAAGAAGGCGGCCGAGAGGGCCCGGGAGGACAACCTCTCCTCGGACCCAATTCGTCGTCGGCGAACCGGGCGGCGAAGGCGCGCTTACCATCGCCGCAGGTGGACGGGAC